CTATAGAAATAATCTATTCTCAGTTATTTAGCTGTAATAGAAATAGTTTATTTAATATATTAGATCTAGTAATTACTTTAATAAAAGTTATTAAATTTATTATAAATCTAGTTTTATTAAAATTATAGATATTAAATAAAATTATACTATATTTTTTAAATAGTTTTATATATCTACTGAAATTAGATATTTAAGATTTTTAAATTTTCTATTTTAGTATATTAATAGTTATAGTAATATATAAAGTAGATTTTAAATTTAGATATATATTTAATAAAGTTATATATCTATTTCTCTTCTACTATAGTAGAGAAAGAGATAGTATTTTATTTTAAATTAGAATATTAGCTTGTAATCCTGGGATTACCCATATATATATATCACCTAACTGAATTGAATGCTCGTTCAGTATTCAATTGTAAGCCTTTTGTCTGAGTGGGTTAGGTGACTCGATTAATTGGAATTACAAGCTATTTCTTATATATATATCGGCCGAGAAGATACTCTATACTTATCTAGTAATATAATCTATTATATAAATAATTCTTCTTAACTAGAGCTTAATTTATAACTATTAACTTATCTATTATCTTTAAAAATAACTTTTTTAAATTATTTTGTAGAGTAGTAAAAGATATATTAAAAATTTTAGCTGTCTTATATATATTATTGATTTTATTATTTTTTATAGCCGATATAGTCAGTAGAATTCTGTCTTTCTACTCAATATATAATTTTAATAATTTTGATATTTTTAATAGAATAGTTAATATTTAAATTACCTAAGAAATTGAGACGCGTTGAAAACACATATAAGGTGCAGGTCACTTGCGGGTGCGGGTCGCTAACCGGTTACGTTAACGTAACCGATAAGCCGCTCGGCCATGTAAGCTGCTCGGCCCTCTCTGTATCCCATATAAAATAGTATATTTTTGTTAGAATAGTGGCGGTTAGGCTCAGTACCACTAAGCTAAAAAGACCAAAATATCGAACAGGAAGTTCGATACACCAACCACCATCTATATAGTGCTGTCACGTAACAATTTTCAAATATCAATATCTCAACAAATTTATATTCTATCTATTTACTTATTTAGCACAGTATTAGTATAAATATTCTTTATATAAATCTCAAATATCAAGAGAACTGAAGTTCTGTAAATATAAATTACAGCTATCTTCAATAAATACTAAAAAATACACATTAATATATATTACTCTGATAATAAAAGACTGTTAGAGCTCTAAAATTTAGAAGCTTATTAGTATAGTATATAATAGACTATAAATAAAATTATTGATAGATAGAATAGAAGTTTGTTGAGATATTGGTATTTGAAAATATGCTATTTTATATAGGTGTAACGGCGGTATACCGCCGTTACAATAGGATACAGAGGTGGCCGAGCGGCTTACCAGTTACGTTAATTCAGTCTACCATAGCTTAGTTCCTGCAAATTAACAATTACCGCAAGCAGATCCACACCTTCGTCTAAATTGACCCTTTTATTTATCGTTTCTTTTTTAATTACGTTACACTGTGCAGTGCACGTGTCCTTGTTTGTTAGTCTGTGATCTGTATCCCGCCCCACCATGATACCACGTCTTATCAATAACTACATTGCTTACTTTCTGTGCTACTTTGACATGTAGTCAAATGAACACATAGGCACTGCAAAGATTCTCCAAATATATTCTCTGGTCTTCACGGGGCCTTGTGTTTCTGATACTGTATGGTCACTGTCTTTCTCCCTTTCCGGGCTACTATTTAGTACACAAGCGCAGGGCAAACGGCAAGGCCAACTTACGCAACAAACACTATGCAGTATACGCCTTTTGCCTCGGATATAGAGCTCCCGTTTTACACCGCATTAGCATCATTGAAAATCAATCATGACAAGCTTGATGACTCTGCCCGCAAGATAATAGGCCTCTATGAAATTCGCTCAACAGACCCTCCTAGCAGCTCATGTAGGATGCAAATACATGGAAATGCTCTAACCAGTGATGAGTGAGTGCTTTGTCATTATATGAGTGTTACACCTTCGTATCTGTTTATGCGCACTGGTTAACATGACCCAGGGTACCAGCGGGTTTCTACAGAGCCGAAGGATTGATTAAGAATGTCAACACTATCGAGGAATACCGAACTGTAGACAAAACACTTTTACTCCACCGATCTGGCAGAATGGTCAGTTTAACCAGGCATGGTGTTTCGCTGGGAAATTGACACTGTCTACTAGATATGGGATGCGATAAAAGATGGCACCATCTATTCGTGCCCATCACTTTTGTCTTCCTTTGCCATTCTTTCTTATGCAGACCTGAAGAGATACAAGTTTCATTATTGGTTCGCATTCCCTGCAATTCATTTGGATCCTTCCTGGGCCCCACTAGGGCCAAATAATGATACTGCTCACTCCAAGTCTTCTGAAAGGGAATGTGTACCTTCTACATACTTATCAAGTGTTGAAAGTTCAACACTCGTGGAAGCAGTAAACACCTGGAGCTACGGCATTGACGCACGACAGCGTGGGTTTTTTCTAGCTCGAAGAACCCTAGCTGCTAGCGGCAAAGCCTCTCAGGATTCTACTAAAGATACAGGTTCTGAACCGGGAAAGGGGAAAGCAGCAGATGTCGAGAGTGTCTGTTGGCGGATTGCTACCCTTTCAGATTATGAAAATGGATTTTTTGACGGGGCTAACTTTGAAGATTGCTATGTCTGCTTCGTTGATCCTTCTAATTACGAAAAAGCGCCTGGCTGGATGCTGAGGAATCTGCTGGTGCTTGTAAAACATCGATGGAAATTGAGTAAAATTCAAGTTTTGAGATTTCGCGATGTGCATTCGAAGCGTGACCAAGGCCGCAGCATCGTGGTAACATTAGCGGAGAAGAACCAGCAAACGTCAATACTGAAGGCGCCAGACAATCTTATGCCCAAAGTGACCGGTTGGGAGCGCAATCCAACAGGGAAATTGACAGGGAGATTGGTAGACCTGACGGAATATCTGGATCCCCAGAGGTACAGTTTCCTGAAACGAGACTAAGCGAAACGAAGTGTAGCTGATTTCGTACAATGGCCAGATTAGCAGATCAGTCTGTAGACCTCAACCTGAAACTCATGAAATGGCGAATCAGTCCCAACCTAGACCTTGAAAAGATCAAGCATACAAAATGCCTCCTGCTTGGTGCAGGCACTCTTGGAAGCTATGTTGCCCGGAATCTGATGGTATGTATGGTGCAAGTGATGATTTACTATGTATATAGATGACTAATTGCATCTATATCTAGGGCTGGGGCGTTACCAAGATAACGTTTGTCGACAATGGGTCGGTATCATTCTCTAACCCAGTAAGACAGCCGCTATTTAACTTTAAAGATTGTTTGGCAGGTGGAGTTAAAAAGGCGCATCGGGCTTCTCAAGCTTTGTCGGAGATTTACCCAGGGGTCGAATCTACCGGATATGCTCTATCAGTGCCAATGGCCGGTCACCCCGTATTAGATGCTGAAAAGACCCGACAGGAGTTTGAACTCCTTAAACGATTGATAGATGAGCATGATGTCATCTTTCTTCTAATGGACACACGAGAATCCCGCTGGTTACCAACTGTCATGGGAAAGGCAGCGGGAAAAATTGTGATGAATGCTGCATTAGGGTTTGACTCCTTCGTTGTTATGCGCCATGGTGTGAAGGTTGCAGAAGACCCAGCAGCAGAGCTCGGTTGCTATTTTTGCAATGATATTGTTGCTCCAGTGAACGTAAGTGATAAACCGTGAATTTAGTCTTGTGAAAACCACTAAAATTTACTAGTCCATGAAAGACCAGACACTGGATCAACAGTGTACCGTGACCAGACCTGGCGTGGCCGCGATTGCTTCGGCCTTATTGGTTGAGCTGCTAATTTCTGTCCTTCAACACCCTCTGGGTGCTGCAGCTCCGGCTCCGGCCTCAAGGGATGATGATCGAGGGAGTCATCCCCTAGGACTCGTGCCACATCAAATTAGAGGTTTCCTTTCAACCTTTGAGAATCTATGCGTAGTAGGCAAGAGCTACAAATGCTGTAGTGCTTGCTCAGAAAAAATCGTTGACACGTACAAGGAGAAAGGCTGGGATTTTGTGCACAAAGCTTTGGATGAGACTGGATACGTGGAAGACCTAAGCGGTCTTAAGGAGGTTGGTCTCCCCATTCTCGTTTCTTTCTTTGTTTGTTCTCTTTGCCCTCTATTTAAGACAAATGCTGAGGCTCTGCAAGGTTCAAACAATCGCTGAAGCCACAGCTGCCGACATCGAGTGGGATGAGGTCTCTGGAACCGATAATGAGTTAGAGGCCATGGGAGCTGACAGATGATGTTGCGTACTCTTTCGAGGCGAGTCCTTTGAGCCAATAGGCTTCCGCAGAAATCATTATTTTCAGGGAGAAGCGAACACGTCATGCCTCGTTGCATGTTGTTTGCGTGCAAGACCAATGAAGTAGGCTTCCTTAGATTCCTAGCAACCAGGTTAGTGACGCTAGACTTGACTTTTTAGGATCATCCGCTCGTGACTGATACATTACGTGAAGACTCTGGTTTAAGTCTATGTACTTTCTGGAACAGCCGCTTGAGCTGCTTCTCCAAATCTTTGTCTTCGGCTCCCTGGTAGAACTTGCAAACAAAGTGGCCACCTGCCTTCAAGACCTCGAAACTAAACTGTAGCGCAGCTCGGCAGAGGTCCTTCCTTAGGTTAACTGTGTATCAGACAGATCGGGTGCAACTCAGAATAAGAGGCTCACCATGCTTCCCGCATGGTCTCTGAAACTCATGCCACTAGTATTCATCATCCTGTTATACGAATCACTTAGACTTCTCTTCCAGCCCAGATGTTTGATACCAGGGGGGCAGACATATCACTTAGAACCACGTCCACGGTTCTTTTACCAGTCAGGCAAGGCTCTTCCATCTCTCCGTAGTTGCGAGTGGGGTTTTTCCTATCCACATCCAATTCAGACGCCTCATGGCTCAGGCCGATATTTGGGTTTATGCCTGGGCGGTGCCGTTGGTCCCTTGTTGGATCATGCAAAAAATCTTGGACATAGGCCTGGATGCTAGGATCCAAAAAGTTTCCTTGAATTGTAGATACACCCTCTGGTGGCTGAGCAGGAATGATATCAACGCCAAGGACGCGACCGTTTGGCCCAGTCCGACTGACTGCCACCTTCAGGAAGTTAGGATAGCTACAGAGCAAGGCTCATGACTAGCTGACGTACCTGAGACCACGAACCCGGCGCATATCCCTATTATCGTATTGTTAATACGGTGAACAGAATTATGTCCGTTTTCTCGAACCGTGACTGTCATACCAAATCAACAACAGTCTGCCCGTTACGGAAAATGCGATATTTCGCATCTATCTATCCATGTGGGAAGTGTTAGGGTAAAAGTATACACATGTAAGAGAGTTCGATGCTACACCTGAATAAGTTTAAAGGCAGCTCGACTTTTCAGCCCTTGGACTGTTGCCGCTCTTGTAAAATGATCTTTAAGTTGACGTGTTTGCCACCTCTTCGAGGAGGAGGATCGCTTTAGGATGAAAGGAGAAATAGCAAGGGCACGTTGCGACCGTGAAGTGACTTTTAGAAGTAACCACATTGCTGTCGGCAGGGTGTATCGTCGAAGTTCAAGGTTGGCTGTAGTATGAATTGGTTACCTGGTGTAGTTATAGAAATATTAAAGCTTACCTAAATATATGTTGCAAAGGGCAATCGGAAGCGTGGCCGACTTATAACTTGAAATTAAATATCTTGACAAGCAACAAAAAACCCCAGCAATACAATGAATTCTTGTATCACGCAACTTGGTCCTTCTTCGCTTTGCCTTTCCCTCTTGTCTCTAACAAAGAAGCCTACGAGGTCCAAGGAGGTGAAACAATGAGGTCAATTAAATTCACTCTAGTATGTGACTGAAGCTGCTCTAAAGCCGTTTCTTGTCTCGCTTCAAGGGAGAAAATTCACCTAGTCCGCCCAACCCGCGACTGCGTCCAAGGCGGTTGCCACTTGGAGCAGATACTTGGGAAGCAGCATTTCGCCCTGTACTTCCTAAGACCAGCTTCCGACCTGGCCGCCTGATGTCGTGGGTATCTTCGTCGTCGTCTTCGTCGAACAAGCCCATGTCGCGTTGGGTCCCCAGTTTACGTTTCCTTGATTTGAATTGCCCATGGGCAAATATACCGCTGACAGTTTCCATTCGTCCCTCGGGATCCGAATTGTCTACCAGTTTTCTCTGAAATTGCCCCCCTTTTCTGCCATTGGAAGTGCCATGACCCAGATGTAGTGTGTCCACAGTCACAGGTAGCTCATCAACCGACGGCTTCTGACCCTGATACCCAGAATTCCCACACTTTTGAATATCATTCTCAGAGGCTTTTTCATTTGTTCTACTGGTCATATGAGTTGTGTGGAGCTCATCTGCATCATCCTCAGAACTCATAGCTGAATCTCGAAGCCCACTTGTTCGGTTTAGAAACGGAGTGATCGAAAAGGACGACTTCTCGCCAGGTAACGCTGATATTTTACTTCTCTTGTCCTGTGCACGAATAGCTCCAGGGGTTGCGATTGTTAGACCAGAGTTGTGTTGTGTAGTGGACTGCGCACTGGAGAATTTAGATTCGTGATTGTTAGAGGTGTCATGCTGTCGTCTAAGTTCCGTAGCAGCTGCCTGGTATTGGTCCTTCGTTGAACGTAGCTTCTTATTCAAGGCATCAAGATTGGCATCGAGTGCCGATCGTTGGGCAGCCCATTCCATACTTTGTTGTTGAAAGACACGCTCACGTCCATCCCGCGCCCGTGCCTCCTCCACGAGTTCTTTGCGCGCTCCTTCAAGGCTTAAGCTAAGCGCTGTGACTTGTTCTGCATTATGCGACTCCCTGGCTACCGTTTGTTCGTGGGCCTTTTTTTCACTTTCGAGTTGTACCTCAAGGGTTGCAATCTGTTGTTCGAGATTTTTCTTCTCGGCAAGGAGCATATGTTCAGAAGTTTTCTGGGACTTGAGCCTTTCACGTCCGCCTCTGCGCTTGAGAGTACCCTTGAGAGGTGGTGTTTTCCTGCAAGGAGCTTTTTCGCATCGACAGAAGAATTTGTCAGGGAGCCAAGCTCAAGCTACATTAGATTTTCAGTATGAGCCGTTCCACATTACATACTCATGGGTAACATACACGAAGTGTCTCTATTTCATGAGACGACGCATTGTGCGTTCTTCGTAGCTGATCGATCTCCTTGTAAGTCGCTTGGAGCTGAAGACGGACTTCAGATTCCTTCCTTGCGGTTTTGGTCAATTCCTGATTGACATGATTCAACTGCCACCGCAGATTCTCGTTCTCAAATCGAAGGAGCAATTGTTCCACGCGCAGTACCCGGTTTGTTTCAGCATTTAGAAGCTGTGCCGTGTGCACCAGGGTGTTGTCATATGCTTTTTCCAGGCTCTGTGTTCTTATTGCCATTCGACACTATAGGACAAGGTAAGCTTGTAAAACGCCATGGGACCAAGATGACAAACACACATCTTCTACCGTGCTTCCTGGATCTTTGCTACTCAATTCCATAACAATGAAATAAAACTATAATCGCGAATGATGATATATAAGATCCTAAGGCTGCTGGGTGCGGTACAAGTTTATCTTTGATAAATGAGAAATTAAACACTATCTGTCTAGAGGCCAGGAGGGCCAGTACCTTTCCGTCCGTTCACATGGATGACGACACAGGAAAAACTAGTGCCGGTCATTCCGCAGTATTGGACACCTAATACATCCTACTCCAAACTACGATCGCTCCATACTACTAATGCAACCAGACCACTGTCTTCAAGTACATGGATCATTCCATTGTACATCACCCATTGATTTGTTGACAATTGTTCCGTGCAAACACCACATTCCTGCTGTAGTGTTATACTCCTGACATGTCAACATGAAATTGTTTACTCTCATCATCGCACTCTTCTATATTGTATCTAGCGCTTGCGCGAGCCCGGAGTCTGGCAAGTTCGAAAGATATCAGTCTCTCTCTCGCTCCATTCCCATTGATTTGGATGACTCGTCATATGAAGACTTGACATCGAAACCCCGAGATTATCACGTTGCGGTACTTTTAACGGCTGCTGAAGCTCGCTATGGGTGCATCTTATGTCGCGAGTTCCAGCCGGAATGGGAACTCATCTCGCGAAGTTGGAACAAGAGCCCCAAACCCGATGGCCTAAAAATGCTTTTTACCACCCTTGACTTCAATAATGGTAAAGCAACTTTCCAAAAGGTGGGTTCGGATTGATCATTTACAGTATTATTGGCTAATACTAGAGGAAAAGCTGATGCTCCAAACTGCCCCGGTTCTTCTTTTGTTTCCTCCAACTGTTGGTCCCTTCGCTAAAGTTGATGATGCGCCTGTTAGATTTGACTTCAGTGGGTAGGTGTGCACTGAAACTCTTTTGTTGAGGTACTGCTGTGCTAAATAATTACCTTTAGTCCAATCTCTGCTGACCAGCTTTACGTGTGGATCAATCGTCATCTTCCAGAGGGACCAAAGCCACCCCTTGTTCGTCCCATTAACTATATGCGACTCATTTCTGCAGTGACAATATTAATGGGCGTGTTAACCTTATTCACTGTTCTATCACCATATGTTTTGCCAGTTATACAGAATCGAAACTTATGGGCCGCGTTCAGCTTGATTTCCATACTATTATTCACAAGCGGCCACATGTTCAACCATATCCGCAAAGTGCCATATGTTGCTGGCGACGGCAAAGGTGGCATTAGCTACTTCGCCGGTGGATTCTCAAATCAGTTTGGAATGGAGACACAAATTATTGCTGCCATCTGTAAGTGTGGGCGCCTGAAAGCCAACGAAACATGAAATTTCTATGTTCCTGCTGCTTATACATTACCGTGCAAGATGCCATCCTTTCCTTTGCGACAATAGCTCTCGCGATGAAAGTTCCCCGTATCGCGGACACTAAAGCGCAGCAAGTAGCTGTTCTAATCTGGGGAACTGTATTGTTTGGTATGTACAGCTTTCTTCTGAGTGTCTTCAGGGCAAAAAATGGCGGATATCCTTTCTTCCTGCCTCCATTCTAGTTCAGGTCACAGTCGCAACGCTAGTCGTCTCTTCCACCATAGTTTATCCAATGATTGCATTGAAAGAGAACAAGCTGAAGTTGTGGCCTCGACGATTACTTGAGCCAGCAATACCTGATTACGACATTTGGAGCTAGGAATTGGATTATAAGAACAACTACGTTTCGGCTTTCTCGATGGCGACGAAGTGTTACATCCTGACTATGTTCCCTGAACGCACATGTGCATAATTATAGCTAGCTAGAATAAGGTTAGCTGGTGCTGTTTAACATGTAGAACTATTCCATGCAGCGGTTGCTTTTATCAAATCTATCTTTGTCAATGCTTTCTTAGAAGACGAAATATCTGACGGTTTTGATCTCATCTAAGCCACGCGGACCCTGCAGGAAAAATTAGTTCCGGCCCGGGGTCTCTTGGCGTATTACAGCAATCTTTCTCCATGAGGTAAACATAGCTTCAATTCAGAAAACTTACAGATACGTTGAGTTACATGTCACTATGTCCCAGCCGGGCGAAAACGTTGACAGGGCTCTGGTCTCTTCGGTATCTGGTGTGACGCTCTTGATCATTGTTCAAATAGCCTCTAGGCTGTTCACGTTCATCGCAAATCAATTGATCCTACGGACTCTTTCCCCGGCAATCCTTGGAGTTGGTACTCAGCTGGAGTTATACTTCATCTCGATACTATACTTTTCCAGGGAAAGCATCAGAACAGCGATTCAGCGACAACCTTTCCATGGAGCATCTGCTAGTGCTATCCACGATGGGAGCCATGATCAGATAAGTGGCAAACTTAGTCGAAAGGCCCAACCACAGACAATATCTTCCCAATCAGTAGTAAACATGTCTTATCTGAGTATCAGCATGGGAGTCCCATCAGCTTTGATATTCGCGACATTGTACACACAGTTTGCTTCCAGGGAAGTTTCCGAAACACCTTTCTATCTAGCCGGCGTTGCGATCACCACAGTTGCATCCCTTATGGAGCTTTGCGTTGAGCCTTTCTTTGCTGTGGTGCAGCAGTATACATTGTACAAGAAGCGCGCAATAGTGGAGACAGCTGCAGCATTTATGAAAAGTCTAACCGTGTGTGGTTTATTTTTATGGTCTTCTTGGAAAGACCAAGACTTGGGCGTCCTTCCATTCGCTCTAGGTTACCTTTGTTACTCTTTGTCACTTTTTTGTGGGTATTATCTAACCATACCAAAGTTAACAAGTCGATGGCAGTTTTCTTTGCTCCTTACCAAAATTAGATTGAGGTACGTCACCAGTTAAGTGGAAAGGGTAATGTTTCGATCATGGTAACACTTTCTAGTGATAATTCAATCTACCTGGCAGATAGGTTCCCAAGGCACCTAGTTACACTTTCCACAAATGTCTTTTTCCAGTCCATCGTAAAACACCTCCTGACTCAAGGCGACGCAATGATGCTGGCAGCAATGACCAGCTTAAGAGACCAAGGTATATACTCTTTGGCATCAAACTATGGCGGCCTGATAGCGCGCGTTCTATTCCAGCCTATCGAAGAAAATAGCCGAACTGTCTTCTCATCTCTGCTCAACTCTGGGAAACAATATACAAGAAATGTCAGCGCAGCCAAGGCACATCTAATCGAGATCTTACAAGCATATGGAATGCTAGCTGTTTTCATATTCCCTTTGGGGCCGTATCTGGTTCCCCGAATACTATCTCTTTTGGGCGGGCAAAGGTGGGCTTCTCCAGAAGTTGATAGTTTACTTTCACTCTATTGCTATTATATACCATTCTTGGCATTCAATGGTATAACAGAGGCGTTCGTTTCGTCTGCAGCTAGTGCTTCTGACCTTCGAAGACAAGCGTACTGGATGGGGCTGTTTTCAGCAAGCTTTGCTTTAGCAGCTTACCTATTTTTGAAAATCGGTGGCTTGGGTGCCCATGGACTAGTCTGGGCGAACATTATCAATATGGCAGTCCGTACGGCCTGGAGTTTTATGTTCCTCCGGTCCTACTTTTGTCTGCACGGCAGTAACCTAGCCTTGGCTGAATTCTGTTTACGACCTCAAACATGGATTGCTGCGGCTCTGTCATCGGTGATTCTGGCTAGACAAGGACACGACCATACTAACTATCGTAGCTCTGTGAAGGCATTAATGCTTTGTACTGGTTATAGCATCCTGATGTAAGTCGAATTATATCACACATCATGGCTAAGCTCTAACTAGTATAGAATATTCCTCGAACGAAAGTACCTTACAACAAAATACACATATATTTGCAGAATGATCAACTCTAGGCGTGCTAGAATAAAGACGGACTGACGTGCAAAACTAATCGTCGAACACAATTTTCGTGGCTGTCTTGTCGGTGTCGACATTCTTGAAGAAAGCACCATATGCATCATGTTGCTTTTTCTTGACAGTTGTTCCGAATTTAAGGAGGTCTTCTGGTATATCCTGTTTTGCTGCTCTGAGGACGTTGATCAATCTGCGGCTCATTAATGAAAGGCCCTCACTCAAATAACTCTGCTGGCACAATGAAAAGGTTAGAGATGAGGGCTCACTCACGCGCCAGACTGAGCTTTATCTGTCTCGGTAAATAGGGTCACAGCATGTCCCTCGGCTCCAGCACGACCAGTTCTGGACGGAAAAAAGATGTCAGGCAGTCCCACAGATTCAAGGCATATTACTTACCGCCCAATTCGATGTACATAATCTTCAACCGTAAGAGGGAATGTGACATTAATGACCTGTTTGACCGAAGGAATGTCAAGTCCACGAGCTGCAACGTCCGTAGCAACGAGGACGGTAGCAGTTCCTGTTTTGAAGGCGTCTAGGCTGCGAAACCTCTCCTGTTGACTCAGGTCCCCATGTATCCCTGCGACTCTAAATCCCTTTGTACGAAGAAGTCTCTCAATCCGCACGGCTTCCTTCTTATACAAACAGAAGGCTAGCACTTTTTCTGGCTCGGGAACCCCTCGCTGGGACCGATTTAATAATTGAACAAGTCGAGACTCTTTTTCATGTGGCTTGACAACCTCCACAACTTGCTTGATCCTGGTGTTCGCTCGTGGGTCCGCAGATGGATCACCTCCGATAGTGACAGTCACAGGAGAGGACATAAAAGTTGACGCGAGGTCCCTGACACTGGGAGGCCAGGTTGCAGTGAACATGACGGTCTGGCGCTTAGATACCGGCATTGGACGAATGATGTCTTTGATATCTTGTTCAAAACCCTTGTCCAGCATACGATCCGCCTCATCCAGAACCAGGTACTTCACTTTTCCTAGGTCTACCGAACCGTCATTTTGAAGATCCTTCAACCTACCAGGGGTCGCAACAACAATCTCTGCGGCTTTCAGAGCCTCCCGCTGTTCCTCTTTTCTCACGCCGCCGAATACACAAGCAACTCGGACGCCCACGGATCCAGAGAATTTTAACAATTGGTCGTATATTTGCATCGCTAGCTCCCTTGTTGGAGATATTATTACTGCCATAGGGCGATAAGGCTTTTGTTTGCTTGTTGCTGAGTCCTGGATCTTCTTTAGGCATGGCAACCCAAATGCAAGTGTCTTTCCACTTCCAGTTTCTGCGATGCCAATAACATCACGACCAGTGAACAACAATGGCCAGGTAGCAGACTGAATCGAAGTTGGTGATTTGAATGATCTCAATGGCGCATACAGGTCATCTTTGCAAGGAGGAAGGTGAGAAAATGAGATGATTGGGCGCATTACATTCTCGGATGATGTATCTGTTATCTTAATAGAGTTTTCCGTCAGGAATTTCTCGATTTCGGATTCAGGGACATCGCCCAATGCAGGAGACTGGACGTAAGAGAGACTCTGCTCAGCACTTAATTTAGACTCCGCAGGTTTTTCCTTCTTTTGCTTTACGCTCTTCGGCTTTTTCTTCGGCCTATGCCCATCACCTCCATCATTGTGAAGATCACGTTTAGTCATTGTAATCCCCTTTTCAGTTTAGATAGAGGCGAAAACAGTGGATAGGAAGAAGAGAACAAATAAGGTAATTATTTTTATAACAAATAGAGTTTGTAGTGCCTGAAAAGACTTTGTCTTGATATATCAAGGGGAGAGTTTTTTCGACATCTCTCGATCTGTGTCTTTTTTTTAATCTTCCGCAATTTTGCCGTGCGTCACCGCCAAGAGTAGAAAATTCGGATTGATTAACACTTGAGGTTAACTAACATAACCGGTAAGCGGGAGACTCATGTAGGCGGGGAGGTCAGTGTTACGTCCGGGCTTTGTCATAAAGTCCTAAATCAGTAAGCTAACTGTATATAGTGATACTTATCTGTAGTTATTCTTTAACTAATATTGTTAAAGAATTATAATCTTAATAGAATAGAAATTATAGTAGAATTTCTATTAATATAAAATTATTTTAATATAAACTATTATTAAA